AGGGTTGAGGACTCGATTGCGACACGCGGGGGTGGGGCGGCGTGGGGCTCGTTCTGGGCCTTAACGTCTGAACGCGCCCAAGTTTCCCTGCGCCCCGGAGACGCGCGGGTCGCGGTTGGCGGGCGCCTGCACGTTGGCGCCTCCCCCGGGAGGGTCTCGTCCCGCCCGCGGGTTGCTTGGGGCCCCTGGGCGCGGGTTGGAGCCTGCAGCCGCGTGAAGATGGAGAAGGGAGCGGACGAGCAGCGGGGCGTGCGGTCGGGCCGTGCCGAGACCACCGGGGTGCGCGGTTACCGTGCGTCCCCGCGTCCGCGTCGTGTCGCTTCCCAGCCTAGACTTCGGCGGAGGATGGAGACGGCCCAGTGGGTCCAGGCCCCTGGCTTTGGAAGGCTGGGCGTCGTGGCCTGGACCTCACTTCAGAGCAGCCCAAGGTCTTGGGGCAGAGACGAGGTGCCGCGGGGCTGCAGCCCCGCTAGCCCCCAGGCCTGAGAGGGCAGCTAGGGGTTTGCCTGCAGGACCTGTGAGGTCAGGGCGCAGCCCCCGTCTTACAGGTGAGCAGGCCGAGGCCAAGATAAACCCTCCCAAGAGGTGGGAGGTCGGCGGCTGGGGCGTCCAGGGCACCTCTGAGCGGTGTGTCAGCGCGGCCACCCAGGATCCCCCGGGGTCCCTGTACCTGCAGGTGCCCCCCTTGCACGTGTCTGCTGGTTTCAGAGTCGTGTGCGTCGTTGCATCCCAGAACTCGCCTGCTCACATGTACCTGCCAAGGCGCACCTGCCAGACAGCCCCCTCCCTTACCTGGGAAGGCAGGCGTGGGGACCCCGGCGGGATATGCAGATGTGCAACTGCGGCTCGGAGCGATGATGCAGTGGGCTCCCCTGGGATCAGGGAGCCCGGGGCCCAGGGCACTGAGGGGAGGCAGGAGGGCCCGAAGGACCACACTCCGCTGCTCACACCTGGGGCCACTGCAGCCAGGTGCTGGGGCAGGGCCTCTGGCTGGCAATTGGTCCTCAGAGCAGAGGGGTCTGTGGCAGGACCCTGAACCTGGACTCCCGCGCGGGCCCCCCCCCCCCCATTGCTAAGCTGTTGATTGGCCCCTTGCACAGGGGTCAGCCCAGGGGGGGCTTGCGCTGGAGAGAAGGGTTTGAGATACTTAGGGAGATGAGGTTCCAGACCTCGGCCACCTGGGGCTTTCTGCCCTGGCCTTAGGTCAGCCCTCGCCCTGTCTGCTCCCCCAGACCGGGCTGGGCTGCCCTGTGCTGGCCGCTCCTGCTGGCACCTCACGCTGTGCCCAGGTCACCACTGACCTACCTCTCCATTCCCTGAGGTCGGTAGCAGGAGGGGCTCCTTGGTGGGGGTGTCCAGCCCGGAGCTACCTGTTGGGCACTCGGTCTCGAAGTCTCATTGGCTGTGGGTGGAAGTGCGGGCCAGGTGGGCCAGAGCCTGGGTCCTGCTGCTCTCCCTTTCTCTCATGGGGACATGAGCGTGCCCTGGGTGACGCTGGAGGTCTCTGTCATAGCTACTCAAGTCCCTCATCCTGCTGTGCTGGGGCAGAGAGCTCTCCAAGAGCCCCCCAAGTCCCTGGCTCAGTGGGGCCTCGGGCTGGAGAGGGGTATTTCTGACAAGGCCGGTGGTGCTGGCCCTGGGACCCATTGAGGTCAGTCGTGCTGTGGGGCCCCCGCATGCCCAGCCCGCAAGTGCACCAGCGGAGTGACGGCCCCGGGAACGTGTGGGTTTGTTTTGTTCGGAGGTGGGGAGGCTGGGCACCAGGGACTGCCGGGCAGGGCTGCAGTGGGCACGGCTATCCCAGCAGGAGCTGAGGCCTTGCCCTGGGCGTCTCTGAGCAGGTCGGTGGGCCCCAGGTTGTACTCTGGTGTGGGGATTCTTTCTGCCAAGAAGCACAGGGCCCTGGGAAGGCTGCTGTCAGTGCGTCAGCAGGGCCCCTCATCAGGCAGAAGTGTGAACCCTTGCTCGGGGGCGCCCGGGGTCTGGACGAGTAGGAACAGCATGCAAGGCGTGGGCATGGCAGATTTCGGGGGCAGCCGGCGAGCCCAGGTGGCAGGGCCTGGCCTGGCGCTCCTGCAGACACAGGCCAGCCACAGCTGTGGAGTGGTCCCAGGGCTGGGAGGCCTGACAGTCCTGCCTCAAGTGGCCCTGCCCTGCAGTCACCCCTGGTCGGCCTCGGGCCGGGCCTGAGTCGGGATTCTGAGCCCAGCCCCAGCCTGCTGGGATGTCCTGGGGCCCCCACCCTCACGGCTGCCCTGTCGTTGCAGGACTCGGCCATGTCGGGGATCGCCCTGAGCAGACTTGCCCAGGAGAGGAAAGCCTGGAGGAAGGACCACCCGTTTGTAAGAGGCGCCCCTCCACATGGGCAGGCGTGCAGGCGGGGGGCCGCGAGCAGAGGCCGTGCCGGCTCTGACACGCTTCTGTGGTTTTCCTCTCAGGGTTTTGTGGCCGTCCCAACAAAAAACCCCGACGGCACGATGAACCTCATGAACTGGGAGTGCGCCATCCCTGGGAAGAAAGGGGTAAGGCCACTCCTGCATGCCCCAGCCCTGCTCCATACCTCGGGGACGTGGGAGAACCCGGCCAGCGTCTGCACTGTCCTCCAGCGCAGGTCACCGTGGGTTAGGTCCAGATGACCAGGCCCACCTCTGGCCTGGTGGGACTGGGAAAGTTGGGGAGGCGACGGCGACCAGCAGGGGGCAGTAGGGAGCAGAGGGCCTCCACGAGCGAGCTCCGGGCTTCTGCTGTCTCTTAAGCAGGGGTCAGCCCTGTGGGTGTGGGCGTGCTGGTGGGCCAGTGGGCCAGCGCCCACACGGACAGGCATCGATCCCCGGGGCCCTGGACAGTGACCGGGCAGTGTCCTCGTGCGCGTCTCCGTAGACCCCAGGATGTCCCAAAAGTCTGAACTCCAGTGTCCCGAAGCTTGCTGCCCCGCCCTCACTGACTCAGCTCTGCCTGGGGGTGCTGGCGCTGCTTTGGGTGCTCTGCTTGGGTGCAGCTCGGGCCACTCGTACCCTGGGGAGGCCCAAGGGGTGAGGCAGCAGCATCGTTACTGGCCCCCGGGGAGGAGTGTCAGATTGGTCGGGTCGTACCTGGTCCAGACAGGGCCTGGGCTGGCAGCTGAAGACAGCCTGCGAGGGGGCCGGGCTCCTGGGCCACACTGGTGTCCCCGAGCTCGTTGGCATCTGTGCCAGCCTGTTGGCTGTGTCCCCCTAGCCCTGGCCTGTCCCGTTTAAAGCCCGCCCCCTGCCTCTGCAGCGTGCCCTTGGCATGGTAGAGGCCTCCACAGCACCCGGGGGTCTCTGGGTGCAAGGGCACGGGAGGGGCCGGCCCGCCCGCACACTGACCTTGCTCTGCTTCTTCAGACTCCCTGGGAAGGCGGCTTGTTCAAACTGCGGATGCTTTTCAAAGATGACTACCCATCCTCTCCGCCCAAGTGTGAGTAGCCCGGAGCCGGGGAGGTTGGCGTTTCGGACTGACTTCCTGCAGAGACCCAGGAGGCTTCTCCACAGAGGCGTAGGCCCCTGGGAGCGGGCCTGTGTACAGCTGCTCTGCACAGCGCTGGCGGTCTGAGTGTGGGAGCATGCAGGCTCGGGCCTTGCGTGCAGGGGCAGGTGCAGGCCAGGTCTGCCTCTAACCACACATGCCCAACCCTGGACAGGACGGATGTGCCTAGGGACCACCTTGATGCCCCGCCCTCGAGGGCTTCTGCACAGACCTGTCACCACCTCCCTCGGCCTGTGGGGGAGCCCGGGGATGGGGGGGGACACAGGTCTTACTGTAGCCAAGCCACATGTGGGAGAGGGCGCCAGGTCCCTCCCTGCTGTCGCCAACAATTGGCACGCCCTGTCAGCGAGGGCAAGACGTGGGAGTGCTGTCATCCTGGCTGTTTGAGTTTTCGTGGCCGAGGGCAGGTGTCACCCAGATCTGAGAATGAGGTGAATGTGGCAGGTTCCCTCCCAGCGCGTTGGGTCCAAGCACTGCAGATGAGACGGGGAGCCAGGCCGCAGAGAGAGTGGGTAGGAAGGCCGGGGCGGGGCTCGCATGGGACTGTGCGGTCACAACAACGTCGGCCGCTCTGCACGAAGCCCAGTGCGGTTGCCAGAGGCACGCAGGTGCCGGCGGCCGGGGGCACGAAGCCCAGTGCGGTTGCCAGAGGCACGCAGGTGCCGGCGGCTGGAGAGTCGTGTCTGAATGGAGGAGCCTCTGGCGAGGGCGGGGACCTTGCTGGCACGCCGGCGTCAGTGAGTGTCCCAGATATGACGTGGGGTGACTGCACTGCCAGCGGGGGACATGCTCCTGTGTCTACGAAGTGAAGTCGGAGGACCCGCGTGCTCTGCAGTGTCAGGCGTTAGGGGCAGCACTGCTGGTGACAGCAAGGGACCTTCGAGGTCGTGGGCCAGTGTCCTTGTCTGTGGGCTGGCTCTGTGAGCTGTTCTGGGAAGGCTCGAGACTAAATAACCAGCTTAAATTAAACTAAGTTAGGTGCGATGTTCGCCAAAAGGTAGAACGAGAAGGTCGAAGGGTGTGCACGGAGTGAGCAGGCTCGGACCCAGAATGTGCGGGCAGCCGCCTGGTGCAGAGTGACAGCGCAGCGCGGTCATGGAGCGCCCGAGGCGGCGCGACTGGCCTGGCCTTGCCTGGGCCTCGGGCTCTGCTGGCCTACTCGTGCTGGCCACCGCGGCAGCTGTGTGTGGCCGCCAGTGTGCCTCGTCTGCGGTCCCCTCGCCAGGAAGCATGGCCCAGTGGGGCACCTCCATGCTGCTGTGCTGTACAAGGGCCAGGAGTCCCTATACGTGTTAGGGATCACGTGGCAGGGCCACACCAGGGCGTGTGCAGGGCGGAGGCTGCTGTGCTGCACGTGGCTGTTGCTGAGTCGTTGCACTTCACTGGACTCACGTTTCCAGTGTGACGTGATCTTGGAGCCTAGAGGCTGGAGCGCTTTCCCCAGGTGGAAGGGGAGGGGCCCTTGGTGGGCTCAGCTGTGGCCAGTTCTGCTTATGTGACCAGAGGACGTCAGGCCCTAAGAGCTGTGTGGTTTAGTAGCAGGTGGTCCTGCCATGGCAGAGGCCACAGGTGAAGCCGGCCCAGCCCCCGTGCCCTGGTCTCCCTTGTCTGGTCGCCAGCTGCTGGCACCCAGGCCAGCCTGGCCTCGCCCCTGTGGGCTCAGGCTTGTGGCTGTGCCGGCGGAGCCGCCCCATAGCCACTTCTGGCTCTTCTGGAAGCTCT